CTCCCTTGTTCCGCTCGAATTTCGCTGAAAAGAAAAAAGTATGTAAAAACGCTCTAGAAATATATACATACGACATTATAGGAATACACACGCCTACCTCAACTTATTTGGATGAAGAATAGATGTTGATTCCACTAATCGAATTGCGTCGTTTAATGCGGCTAAACCATCACTCATCGGATTCTATAAAGAGCGGACTATCAAAAATTGAGAGTTTCAGGGACGATTATCGGTCTTCACACCTCAGCGATGTTGGAAATTGAGAGATCGGAGCGACCGTGAGCAAATGTGGAGTTTTGTAGACTTTCTCTCAAACTCTTTTGAAAATTGCGAAGCTCATTTAGTACCTAAAAGAAACGTCAAAATTAGGAGAACTTGCAGTGGCCTATTCCTGAATTAGACATGGGACTTAAAACAGTTAGGGACGAACAATAAAATAATAAAAACTTGAGACTGAAATCAAGAAAAAACTTATTTGCCAGATGACATTTGAGAAACCTTACAAGATACTAGTGTTAAAATTTAGTTTCAAGCAAAAATCAGGAATATACTACCTTGAATTGCTCGGTTTGAAGTTGTGACACCGATGATAACACGTGGCCGTTGTGTTTGTTTACACAACATTCGAGACAAAAGAATGTCTAAAAAATTACATCCACACATCCGTTCTCCTTCTTATTTTCTTAAAATTGCATAAACTTACCATAGTTCCCTTGCTATTGCAGTTTTGGCAGAATCTGGCGGCTTTCGTCAGCACTTTAGATGGAAGTTTGCGTTTGCAATCACCGCATCTTTCCCTGAAATCCCGTTATCATGTTTCAAAAACTCTTAGAACGCCAAGAGGCCAGAAATACCAGCTATAAAGAAGTGGGATACCTATGAGTCCTTGAGGTGCTATTTCTTTCTGTATGATCACTTGTTCCCGAATTCGACGTACTTGGTAGAATTCGAGTTGGAGTATCGGGTACGTGAATTACGGTCACGTTCACTTCGCGACCCTTCTGCACGTTTTCGAGGAT